TTAATACAATGTTATTCTAGAATAAACGGCCTTAATTTTTAATTTGCTGCAGTTTAAGAGGATGCCTAAAAAAATACAATGTCCCCAAATGTTAAAATCTGGCTTACTTTAATACAAGAAGGAGAACTCCAACAAAATATCAGAAACTGGATAACATGCCTGTGGGATGTTATCCCTAGATCGTAGGGGACATGGGCCCATCTTTAAATTTGTCAGGCAAATAAAAAATGTTTGCAATAGAAAGCACACATGGTAATTTCATTTCCCCATATTCAGAATAGCAATGGAAGGAAAAGGGACTGTGGCATCTCTAGAATTCTCAGCAGTTCTCAAGATTCTGTTACCGTAATTGTAGCAAAACCCACGAACAGGTATAGTTTCTCAGGAAATTTCTCAAAGAGAGCCCTCAGCCTCCTTATCTTGGTTACCTTCTTCTAACCTTCCTCTTCAACCTGACAAAGGAGAGATAAACACCTACTTACAATGTCAGTTTGTCTACAGACACGGCATGTGCCTGCCTGAGAAGAAGCCTAGCCTGAAATGAAAGTCAGCTATCTGATGTATAAACTGATGTCTTAGTCTCTAAAGCCTGACTCACTCGTGCTAAAAATTATTTGGTTCCATAAGCTTTATGGATTCAAGGTGCTCCAACTACAAATCTTAAAACCTCTCCTATAAGAGGGATAAAGTGTACTAATTGCTTCAGGGAATACAAAAATATATTAAGCAGAATCCTTGCCTTCAAGAAAATTCTCTGTCTCCCCTGCTAGAGCGTGAAGTCCAAGAAGGCACGGACTTTCTCAGTCTTGTTCATCATGACATCACCAGCACCTAGAACAGTACTTGCTGCACAGAAAGTGACTGAAATATTTGTCAAGAAGTGAATGAACCAATGGCCACAAAAACAAAGACAGTATGCTTTGAGCAATAAGAGAATATGGCATATTTGACTGTGGGACCAGTCTAAGGCCAACAGAAACTAAAAGGATGACAAGATTAGGGCCAGAGAAGGCAGGAGAAATGATAATTAGGCCATCCTACAAGGAAGGACTTAGGAGGACAAGGAGAAGGGAAACAGGCCTGGCTAAGGCCAGAGACGGGGAAGACTAGATGTGTCCAGAAAGTGCAGAGGCTCAGGTGGCCACGGGAGAAGGCCATGGGAGAAGATGTGTGTTGGGGAAGCAGAAGGAGCTAGATTGAATGAGGAGAGTGAAGGAAGTGAGGGCAGGCTGCAGAAGGTCTAGAAAAATCAGCAACAGGATTCCACTTCGTTGAGATTTACACCTTTAAAATCATTTTTCATACACTTGGTTTTACCTTTAGAAGAAAATGAGCCTCCGAAAAGATATAAATCTTAAAAAGCAGTAGGGCAATGGGGCCAATAGCCAGTCCTGGGGGCCCACATAAAGGTGAAATTTGGGTTATAAAGAAGTCTTCAATATTATAATAAGTTCCATAGTTTACTAAAATTAATGGTTTATCACAGAATAATAAAAGTCCCGGGCCTAAATTCACTAGCAATTTTCACACAAAGATAAACTCTTTTCTTAGGCAGAAACTGACTTTTAATATCACAGCAGGGTATATTTGATAGGTTTTTTTAAAAATATTGTAACTGTTAACTAATATTAACCAGAGAATGACGCCATTCACTAATTCTGGAACACCTAGAAACATATAGACGTCAAAAGCTCCTAATGCTTCTTTATTAGACAGTCGCAGGTTTGAAGACAGCTTCAGATAAACCTCACTATTGAGAAGCCGTAAATATCCTTGCTCTTTCAACCACTCTCTAGCTATATTTAGCAGCACAATCTCCTTTGTTCACGAGCTACTCTCGATAACTCTGTATTTATGCTCCCCAAGACAGAATACCTTGGACCTGTTAGGTAAATGAATGGATAGCTGCATGGATGGACAAACAAATGAACCATCAAATGACTGTATTAAGATCTGTGAGACGAAATGGATATGATGCTTCATCTATGTACGGCCTAGATCTTTCTTGGTCAGGGCTAAAGCTTCCAGGTCTCCACAAACATGTCTGTCACGCAAAGCAAAAATTGGGATGGGAGCGCCTGGGTGGCTCAGTTGTTAAGCGTCTGCCTTCGGCTCAGGTCATGATCCCAGGGTCCTGGGATCGAGCCCCACATCGGGCTCCCCGCTCAGCGGGAATTCTGCTTCTCCCTCTCCCACTCCCCCTGCTTGTGTTCCCTCTCTCGCTGTGTCTCTCTCTGTCAAATAAATTAAAAAAAAAATCTTAAAAAAAAAAAAACAATAGATTGGGATTAAAATGGAACAGAGGGAGTAAGAAAGTTTTGTTCTTAAAGGAGGAGCGTTTTTCCAGGCAAGGGCAGTGAAGAGGGGAGCAGGGGTAGACTCCCTATGGAGCTGCTGAAGCTTATGTGTTCAGGTCCCTCACTTGCACAGATTCCTTCCAAGGCCCACCAGGAGCCCAAGTCATTGTTCACATGGTCAAATACTTCCAAAGAATTTGCCAAAGTAAGGTATAATCAAATCTATTCTCCTCATGAGGACCCCCAACATAAGTTTCAGGCCCCACGCAGCCTGGGTCCACCCTGGCTGAGAGGCAGGAGTGCAGGTTGTCGCTGAGCAAGCACCCTGTCACAGCCTCGGGAACGGGAGCTTCGGGGCTGTTCACATTCCTCGGTGGTTTCTTGTTCCTTTTGAAAGGCCACCGTTTCCTAAGCCCAGAGTTCTCAATACCATGATACTCCTTTCTGCTGCTACATCATAATGAAGTCACAGGAGACATTCAGCTGTTCCAAACTTCATGTCAAGCTTTGAAGTGCTTTTTAATAGCAGAAATATTTGGCTCACAGGTGGGCTTTGTAGCTATGGTAAATACCTCTCAGTTATCTGTCGCTACCATTAGTCCACACCTCCAGTTTGGAGGAGAAATTCTGCATATGCATTGAGGCACTAAAAAAGAAGAGTGAACTATATCTTAGCTCTTTTGTGAACAGTTTCCTTTTATTTCTTCTTGCATGGAACTAATGTGCTCATCATATTGTACTGGTTATGGGTGGGAAAGCAGTGGAGAGAAGGGAAATGCTGATTATTACATCACTGGTTGGCAGTTCCTCTTAGCTTCTGGAAGGTTAAGTGGTCAAGTAGCTTCTTAATATGAGATCAAGGCATTTCAAGGACTGACTCATCCCCCGGTTTTCTGGCAAAGTGCTTTAGTAGACTTTGGACAAAATGCTTACAATGGTTAAAAGAGAAAAAACTGACCACAATTAATATGAGATAAAGAAAAAAAAAACCAAACCCCTCATCTTGGAGGTTCCTGAATGACTACTGACATGTAGACTATATGTCCACGTACATACCAGAAGAACATAGTTAGAGCATATCTGAGAACACAGAGACAAAGGCTATTTTCGATACATCCTGTGTTGAATAATGACATTTTGCTTCTTTATGTAACTTAATTATTTTATGAAGAGATGACAGAAAATACTGTTGCACTCCCTAAGTTAAAACACTTGACATTTTTTATTCCTCAAAATGGAACATTTTCAAAATCTAGGTATGTTTATTAATTAGTGATTATTAACACCCAGTAAACAACATTATGTCTTGTAAAAACACAATCTCTCTTCACAGCATGATGCTGAATCTATTATTCCCTGATTCCATATGCTGAAATACACTCAAATGGTCACAAATGACCGGAAGCATTAAATAAATGTAAATGAGGACAACATAGAAAATGTGCTTTTGATTGATAACTAAAAGACCAGGTTGAAAATCACGTCCCAAAATGAAGTCCTCCCCAGAAGGGTACGGCAGTCCTAACTGTGGTGTAAAGGCCTCCCTAAGAATGAAGAAGACACAGGTAGAGGATGGTTCTTTTCTCCTGACCTGCCCGAGGCTTTCTGGGAAATGAAACTGGTTTGTTATGAGAAACACAAGGCATCCCGCCCCCTGTGCCACCAGCTTACACTGACATTCTACTGCAGGATTTTAAAACACATATATGGCCACTTCCCTACCTACACTAGCTGACATCAGAGAAAAATAATTACTGCTATTCCATGGCCTCAGCCCAATAAGTTGACCACTGGAGGTTTTTTAAGTGTTGTTGCTGTTCATTCAACTTTTTTTTTTTTTTATCCCCAAACTGAGTAGTTGGGGTGGGAAATCATCTTCAACACAGAAAAAACTCAAAATATCAAAGGATGACAGATTAGCAGTAATAAATAAATAAAATTTATTTATTAATAAATTAGATTGTTCTTATAATGTCTGGGGTTCAACATATAAATGAAAAATGCACAAACACAGATATTTCATGTGGAAAGTAAGAAATGATTCCTCGCTCTTCTAGGTCCTATCATCAGGGCAAAAGAAAATGTAGCATCACCGGAAACACCATTGTTTTGGTTGAGGGTAAGCATTTCTCCAAGTATGAATAAAAATAAACAGAATCTAAAAGGGAATGGATACTAGACTATTTTAAAACCACGAAGAGAGCAGGGTTTCTCAATGTTGGCACTACTGACATTTTGGGCCAGACAGGTCTTTGTCGTGGGCACTGTCTTGTGCGCTGCAGGAGGGTGAACAGCCTCCTTGGCCTCTGTAGACTACATGCCGCTAGCAATCCTCCCCTACTGAGTCAGGACAATGAAAGAGAACCCGGGGGCAAGACTGCCCCCAGGTTGAGAACCAGAGGAATAGAGTCTTCATAAGGAGGTCCCAGGAAGGCTTATTTCAGCCTCAGACTGTATACTCTCAATCCTGAAATCATTCCCAACCCGGGGTTCAATATACTTCAGTTTTCCTCATTGACCAAAGATAATGAAAAAGCCTGCCTGCCTCCTTACAGATTCTTCTGAACATTAAATAAGATATTTTTAAAGTACTTAGAACAGTGCCTGACCCACAGTAAGTGCTCAGTAAATGTTAGCTATTATTATCTTTAATTATCATCCATAGAGAAAACCAGAATGTTTTAATGCAGGAAGGTATCTTACCAGCTTGATATTTTCCGAGTTTTAAATGCACCAGCCTTCTGATTCCTTGTGATGATGTCTCTCACGTCTACAGGACACAGTTAAGAAAGCTTCTGCAGTGACTGTCAACTGACTCCAAAAAAAAAAAGGTCCACAAACACAGTGATCTTCTTACTGTACACGGGATCAGCACAGTGAAAAGAGAAGAGTTGTAGGGTGTGAGGCAGGAGAAGAAGGGTCTAGACCTGGCTTTACCACCAAATGTTGAATTACTTGCCACAGGCAAGCTCTTTTAATTCCCTGGGCTGCAGTTTTGTCACCTGCGTGCATGCTGGCAAGGCCCAGGGTTATGGGCGCTGGTAGGTGTAGATGACTACCGCATAGGTACCATGCCCTACTTGCTTAAAAGGACTACAAGCCCAAAGGCAAGCCTCTTTCAGTCAGTGGGAAAGGACCTGTACCAAGAAAAGCCATATTTCTGGAGGAGATGTTTTGAAGAGCTTGTCCATTACATCACACAGCGCCATCTTGATGCAGGTCCGTGGGAAAAATCATATCAAGTTCCAACACTGGGCAAAGCTAGGCTTGAGATCAGCCCCTTTTGCTTCAACTTCTGGACACTAAATCTTACAACTGTTTTTGTTTCTCTTCTTGCTCTGGTCGCTTTGCAACCCAGAGCCAAATGGATGATCTAACTCTATCAACCACCAGAGCTCTCCTGGCATATACTTTCTGTACTGACCTCTCATCCTGGCTTCATCGTATTGTCCTGGCTTTCTGATTCAGATTGGCCTCACTTTCTCATTTATTTTATATGGCATATCCTATGTGTCACTGTAAAAAGCCGCAAAGTTCCTCTTCCAGAATAAAGCAGTTTTAAATAAACAAATAAAATAATTCCAGTGAAGGCTGCAAGCTGAAATAAATTGGGCCCATGGGGAGGACACCAAGCAGATGAGCGATGTTCCCCTATTGCTCAGAAAAACAGATTTCCTGAATGCTCGGAACAAGCATTGGCCAAGATCTCCCTGCAAGAACAGAGCCACAGGACTTTTTAACCCAAATCTCTGCTTGAAACATCAGGCACACCCATTTCTTCTCTGAGTGAATAAGCAGGTACTGTGATAGCTTTCTCCCCCCCCCAGGAGTGGGTAGGAAAAATCAATTAGGTCTCCTAATGAAGGGCTTTGTGGAGGTTTACAAAAGTGCTATAATGCAGACTTTTTTTTTTTTTTCTGGGTGAACTTTCCTGTATGCAAATTAAATACCGTTAAATTACATTCATTAAAAAAATAAAAGAGACTAATTTGCCTACTTGTTTTGATTAACTAAAATGACACATCGGCCTACAGTTCTGTCTATTTCAGGAAGAAAGTATTTCAGGAAAGTCTTCTAAATGAAATGTCTTGTAGAAAAGGACAGCTGACATCTTTATTCTGAGAAGAACAAAATTAGTGAAGAGTCAACTGACAACTGCTTTTTGGTTGAGCTCCCCCCCTCCGGCCACACCCTACTCCACGTTTCTATGACATCCAACCGCACGCGGCAATATGCCCAGTACACCTGTAGCGTCGTGTGAGTACATGACTAATCTATCAAGCAAAACATATTATTTTGTTAGTGGAGGTAATACTTTTTATAAAATAGTCACAGGGAAGTTAAATTATATAACTCTGAAAACCTATTACTAATTTTTAGTAAACATCTTAACGCTATATGCTTTTATACAATTTATAAACCCATGACTCCAGGTGGTCAGGTTGAAGCAAGTGTACATATTTATATTCTAAAGGTGCTTTTTTTTTTAATGAAAAAATTCACAGCAGTATTTAGGCTGCTTTATTTTTAGAGCTGGGAAAGAAATATATTTTATGGTTTAGGAGGTGTTTTTATATTAAAACAAGCACAAAGAGAAAAAAGAAATGGCAAGAGCATATTAAAATAGCTTAAGAGATATATTCTGATATTCTGCTCCCCCACCCTTCACTTTAGGTCTGGCTGGCACTGTGTCTAATAATACATTTTGTCATTTTTCTGTGTTAGAGTGATAAAGGACATCCAATCAAATCAATACATCCAGGATAGTGTTCAACAGGGTGGACCAAATCCTGTTCCCTGTCCTGTACCCATCTTCTAGAAGTCTTCAGTGGGAGGTGCTGGGTGCAAAGAAAGCTTTAATGTGATTTCTGATTAACTGGATTCTGAACAATCACCTCCAGTCTCCTTGTCTGGGCTACAGGATCAATGCTTGTGGCTAGAAGAAACCACGTTTCTACATCTAGGTTTTCTTCCACCAAAAAAGCATAGTTCAGGAGTGGGGCTCCCTTTTAATTTTAGTTCAGTTGAGTTTTATTCTTAAAATATATATTTTTGGTATAATAACAAGTTACTTAAACAAGTAACTTTAACTTTATGTATCTAAATATAATTAATTACATATAAAATACTATTTAAAATATTAGCCTCCTCCAGCAATTAGTGATTGTTATATTTATCAGTAGTCGCATCTATATTCATCAGTAGTCACATTTCGGGACTCGGCATCGTTCTTTAAGCAAGAAAGTTATTTTTAAAATAGTAACATTGTGATCCACAAAGCATTACTTTTTCAGTGTATGTTACCTTTTTTTTTTAAAGATTTTATTTATTTATTTGAGAGAGAGAGAATGAGAGATAGAGAGCACGAGAGGGAAGAGGGTCAGAGGGAGAAGCAGACTCCCCGCCGAGCAGGGAGCCCGATGCGGGACTCGATCCCGGGACTTCAGGATCATGACCTGAGCCGAAGGCAGTCGCCCAACCAACTGAGCCACCCCAGTATACGTTACCTTTATTTTCACTGGACCATCCAAGGTGAGGGTAGGAAACCATGAAATTATAATATAAATCCTGTTCATTTTGATCTCTAAAGGATTTTAAAAATGCTGGATGTGGCAATATTTGCCAATTTAAAGGCTGCAAAATATTCTTAAAGGTGCTTGTTATCAAAGGAATTGAGAGGATGAACTCTGTTAGCAATGTCAACTGTTATGTTTTTGGATGAGAGGTCTTTTCTTCCTGAGGGTCCTGAGGAAACTGTAAGATGACACTCACCAAACCATTCTAGGTTTTGGTGAAACAGAATGGTTTAATGGGGGGAAATAAAAAAGCTTTGAAGTCAAATGAACCTGGCTGGCTTCTAAGCTGATTCTGCTACTTAGTAGCTGTGTGAAGTTGGGTAAATTAGCCTCTCTGAGCTCCATCTCAAAAACAGGAATAATGATCCCTATTTTATAGGCTTAATGGAGTACCACATAGGATGAGCCTGACCATATAGGTGCCTAATTCATGCCAATTCATTATCTTTTTCAATAATTCGGGCAAAAGCTTCAGAGGGATAAAGAGGCTGGTGAGTAACTAAAATGAGGTTTGGCAGTCAAGCTTTATTTTCTCTCCCTGCTGCTCAGAACTAATTATGTGGACATTTATATTGTAGAATTTAAATAACTGGAAGGAATCAAAGAACTTCTGCCCTGTGGATTTTCAGCGTCTTTCACATGTATAAATGTGCTCTGGCCAAGGCTAGTCTGTGTCCCACAAGAACAGGGACTTGGTTCGTCTTGTCCACTGCTGTGTCTTTAGCGCCTGAAATGGCATGCAATTAATGGTGGTCGGATTAATTTTAATTAATTAGTTAGATTAATTTATTACTTAATTTAAATTGAATTTTCAAAGCTATTTATTGGGCTCCTACCCAGTGTGAGGCACATGGAGTCCATTAATGACTCCATCAGCAAATAGAAGTGCAGCTGGTACAGATACTGGAGGAACACAGGATGATGGCCAAGCTTTGCCAAGGTCTCCACCATCCACAGCACAGGCTGTACAATCTGGAGGGAGCTTAATGTATTAGTTACTCAAATCAGAGATGCTGTTAATAAATAAGGTAATGGTAAGCCAGGGCTATCTCCTTAAAAATGCACAGGAGATTCACCAAGTTGGGATGAATCCTAAACTCGAGATCATGATCCAGACTGTGCATGCCATGGGAATAAGATGCTTGGATCGGGAGCACGAGAAATGGGTCACCAAGCACTGCCACTGTCTGCAGATAACATGCTTGAGGCTTCCTAAGGATGGGTCAAGGCAGGGTGCTTCGTGAGTGTACCAGAGAGGGCTGCTCACCTCTAGGTGTTGTACTTTTATTCATCATGATTTGGAAGAGGCTCAGCATCAATAATAACTCAGTACACTGTTTCTCCCCTCTGTTCTTATGTCATTGTCATCAGCAGCTATGAACTTTAGTGAGTTATTATTATCTGTAGGCACTTGGAGATTTCTTCCTTTATTACACCAAAAGGGCTGTGCCAAAGAAAAGGGAACATGTTTCAAACTACCTTAGGTGAAGTTGAGAACTGGATGAACCAAATGATGCCATTTCTAATTTATCCTTTGTTCTCTTTGGGTACAGATAAAATGGCATCTGTAAAGAGGGGCAGCTCTTGGGTAAGGGGGGCTCTGGGTTAGACCCAGCAATGCAGTTTAAGGACCAAGGAGAACCTCAGGGACATGTACCCATGAGCCTGAGAAAATATTTAGGACTTACATCATTCACTTACACCTCAAGTCTTAATCTCTTTTCAGATATCTCCGTTTAATAGATCTCAAATCAACATCTAGCTTTCCAGGGTCAAGGGAGAGAGCTCTGGAAGACATAGCCAATCCATCTGATACATCTTAGGGAAGATTATAAATAACCTCACAACTGGTTGATAGGCTTTTATGATATAAACATTCAGAACTCATCCATTCATTACCTTACATATTTAAAAAACAGAAATAATTGAAGATAAAAAGGAAGCATCAAAAAATACTATTTTTTTAAAAAAAGGTAAAAATCAGAACCTTAGAAGCTTAAGAGACTAGGAAGTTAAGATTCAGTTGGATTCATTAAATTCGGATGCGAAGAAAAACAAAAATAATTTTTAAAATAATGAAAATAATATACAGGCCAATACTCAGATGTGATGTGGGATTGCCAGGTCGATTTTCAATCACATTTCACTGATGTATTCATTTGTTTCTTAATGTGCTCATCTTGCCCATTAAGAATAATTAGTAGCTTTGCTTAGAGATTTTCTGGTTTCTGGCAATGTTTCTCCTTTTTTTTTTGTTGACATCTACTTTTACTTTTTAGAAAGTAATTTTTGGATAATATCCTACAACTGCTATATAATTTAGGCTTCCTAAAATTTTAAAGGAAAGATGTAAACAGTAATTTTTAAATGAATTTGTTTCAATCTATATGCATCAACAGTATGTGAGTCAGTGAATTAGTTATTCCTACAGAAAGTGGGCACACAAATAGAAAAAAAAATTTCATTCATATTAACCTCACTCAGCACAACAGCTTTACAACGAATGCCAATTATAAGCTCTGTTAGCAAATCAAGAATAACATAGTATTAAAAGCATGAAAAACACATTGCCAATTTTTAAGGCCTTAGGCATGCTTTTTTTTTTCTCTTAATTAAAAAAAATTAGATCTAGTTACAAAAGAAAAAAGCCCACAAACACGGAACAACTACATGATAAAAACTGAACTCCATCAGGAAGGTCCTAAGAGATGAAATAAAACACACTGCCGGTTTTGGTCTGCATCCTGAAAGGACCTACTTTATCTACATTGTAAAGTTCTTCCCCTCCTGCCCTTTGGCACCCCGCTATATTAAACCCATTGTAAAACCCAGCACAATAAAGCACTCTCAGGGCTGAGCTTCTGAGGACCAAATGTTAAAAATCCATTTTCTTGGGAGGGGGCTGTACCAATCATTTCTTTGAAAGGCCAGCAGAGTGAATACAGAATCTGAGATTTCCTCTCTGATTTCAAGAGCTGGCATGGCATCTTTGCTGTTTAAAGCAAAGGTGTGCTAATTAATGACATTAGCATTGCTTCCCTTCTCTGGAAGCGCTGTACTTTAGCTCAATAATAATTTTAGTACAATTAAATTTACATACTGACTACCGATGTTCCTATAGTTTGATAAAAGTTGTAATTTGTTTCTGCCGCTATTAAATGAGACACCTGCTGACTTGAGAAAAACCTCAGGTTGCGGGCCCAATCTGAAAGTTTCTGTGGCTAAAATGACCCTCTCCTGTCCAATAATCCTCGTTCCTTCCTTCCTTTCCACCCCCCCCCAAAAACCATCTGCTGGGGCTGAGCCAGCATACCTGCCTTCCTCTCACTCTCTATGCTCCCTGACATGCGGAGGAGGAACACAGTGAAATGATACAGTGCAAGGCATAACTCAGAATAAAGCAGAGTGAATGAAACAACATTGGCTCATCTTCGGGAATATTTTGAGAAACTTGCGACAGTCTGAAGATCATGATTAAAATCCTGCATCTTAAAAAAGGAAGCACCTTTTGTGATCTCTTTCCCTTGTGTGAAAGGCCAGGATTGTGATTGGCTGTTTTTCCTTCCTGAATTTTTTTTTTTTTTTTAAAGTCTGTCAGGCAATTAGCTGGGTGGGGCTCTGTAGAGCACACAAGCGCTGCTGAACAATATTAGCTACTGTGCTTCTTGTACCTCCTTTCTCCTATTTGAGCAGCCTGATAGAGTTGCTGCAAATTTTATTTTTAAAAGATCATAAGCAAGGGTAGAAAAAGAAAATCGAAAATGGGCTTTCTGTAAGAAGCCGCAAAAATCGAAACTGCTTTGGCATTTTAGGGGGCTAAGGTGCAAATAAGTGGATTGCCTACTTCATAATGTAAATGTAAGGCATACCAAAAATCCAAAGCAAATATATCTTCCACTTCTCTTCTCAATTTCTAATGGTTGTTAACTGCGCCTGAACAAATCAGCTCGATTGCTAAAGTAGCCACAAATTATGCTTGCTTTCTTAGTTAAAGTACAGTTCAATTTTCATGAACTCTGTGTACATATTAGTAAAGCATAATCTAATATAATGGGCTTGGAACTGTAATAGCATAGCAGGAAAAAAAAGAGAGTGCTTTTATAATCCTAAATAAAAGGAAATAATGAAAAACTGATAGCTGTTTCCAATGGGGAGCTATAGGTAACCTCTCGGCAATTAGAGAAGGTCCCATCCTACCTAGCACATACGCAGAAGATCAAACCCAAAGAAGGTCATAATGAACATGAAGCTGGAAGTTAGTTTTTATAAGCAATAGTGGATATAATAAATATTCAATCATTTACTTTATACCAGGAAATTTCAGTGACAATAAAAGGACAAGAATGCCTGAAAATTATTCTGAAACAAATGTTCTTATTGCCTTGAGTGGTCCACAAATCATGGGCTCCTTTCACAAGAAGTGACTGTAAAAAAAATCTATCGAAATAAAAGAAAAACAGTCATCGCCAATGAATTCCATATATTTCTACTTTTTCTTAATTACTTATCATGTGTGTGGGGGGGATTCTTTTTTAATACCCCATGCTGTCTTTCTTTATATCAATTGTTACTTAGCCGGGAAAAAGGAATGAGCACAACAAACCCGTTTTCTATCTGAATAAGGATACTTCTGATGGCCTTTTCATTCCCATCAGTTAACAGAACTTCTTTGACATCTGCAGAAATAGCAACCTGAAAAAAAAAAGGAGCACAGCAAACAATGAGCAAATATGCTTGTCTGTGTGGAAGTGAAGACAGGAGTGACAAGCCTTCAGTATCATGCTTCCTCACCTATTTCTCTGTAACAATCTTCAATCTTTTTTCATTTTATGTCTGCATTATTTTAATCATTCAATCAAATCAGTCAATACTTTTATCATTCCATTTGCGGGAGCCTCTATCTTGCTATCATTCTGTTCGGTAATTGCATTGTGACAGCGGATGATGGTATTCTGAGAGGCTTTCATTTGTGGGCTTCTGTTTATCTAGTAGAGCCATCATACAAGGCTGTCACTCTGCCTTTCAGCTTGCTTCTGTCTGACTGCCTGATGCCCTTCATATAACTTTGCATTGCAGGCAGATGGCTTTGTGAGGGTAATTTTTTTGTGAGCTTTGACATGCTCGCACATTGGGCTGTAACCTCGACACATTGTGTAAGAGCGACAGGTTTGTCAAATGCCAATCAGTGTAACAATATGCTTTTATTTGTAGAGACATAAAAACTTGTCTAATGCACTGTGCTGCTACATAATATCTCCTGAATACATGACTCAGAACCCAGAGAATGGGGAACGACGTTCCTGAATGGCCAATCTAATTCAAAAGAATCTAATTACTGAGCGCTCTGGATCATGTTTGTTGGTGTAATAATGCAGGCAAAACATTAGCAGCTATATCATGGTGCTCCAACTGTGATTCGCTGGGCTATTCCTGTATCTTAGCAAATGGGACTATAATCTGAAAAAAAAGAAAATGCTTTCGCTATGGCAAAGAAAGACCGCGCGAGGCCTGGAATGTCACAACAAGCGATATTGACTACACGGAGGTAAAATGTTTCTGCTCATCGAGGCAACCATAAAATCAATATGATCCGAAAGTAAGTCAATCTAGAAGGTCTCTCAAGACCCGGCAGCTTGACCGCAGCTGATGCTGTTGACGGTTCTCTGACCCAGCAGTTGGAGGCCCTGGAACATTTTTCCTTTTGTTCCTCCCTCTGAATGGGATTGGAATTGAGAAAAGACCTACCATGAGCCCAGCCAAGCATGTCATGCCACCCCCTAGCTCACACACAGCAAGGTCCCTGAAAGAGAGAAAAGAAATGGTAGAACCCATACAAATTAGATGAAAATGGTCAGAGAGATATATATGTTACAAGAACAAATTGCCATCTGCAGTAAGAACGGCGCTACCAGGAAGTTGTAGAGACAGGACTAGGCTACCTCATGTTGCTTTGCGTTTTAAAAATAATTATGAAATAGAAAAGTCACAAAGCAGGCAAATCAGTGGGGGTTCCCTCATTAGTGTTCACTGCAACATTACCACCGCTGAGCTGAAAAATCTGAGAAGGTTCCCTTTTTTTCCCTTGTCAATGGCGCTGTCTTTTAGAACTAAACTAGCTAGAGTAGCGAAAGATAATTGTTAGGAAAGGGTAACACTGTTAATCCACATTCATTCCTTCAAAAACAGTTAGACAAGTAAATGAAGAACATATATGAGTGTGTATATACCTATATTATAGTCACATACACACAACACACACACACACAAATAAATGCAATCTTGAATTTTTTGAAAAAAAAAAAAATCTGAAACCAAACTGAAACATTTTGGAAAGCTGAACTGCCCCCATAAAGAACAATTACACAAAGAGCATTTAGCAATTAACACTTAAATCACAATTGACCCCAACACAACACAGTGAATCAACAATGCAGGGACATAATATGGTTAAGCCAGCAAACCCAGGCTAAAGTAATGACTGGGCTCTGACTTCACCGCTCAAAAGTAAAGCGGCTCAGAGTTAAAGCTGACAGCCTAGTGTGGCACTCTGCACTCACCTTCCCCTTTGTGCCTACATATCAGCCCTCAACGTGTAACATTCTTACCCTGGCCCACTGCTCGATGATTGGAGCTCCAGTCAAGCTTAAGCACAGCGAGAAGAGCAAATGCCAGGCTCCCAGAGCAGCTCTGCAGCCCAAATTCAATACTGCCTTGTGCTCATTTTATATGCTTAAACCCTTAAGAGTGCTTCTTCTTCCCAGGTTGGGAAGTTTATCACCTCAACAGGAGAAAAGAAAAAAAGAGAAGGAGAGAATTGAAAGGGAAGGAGGGGTGCAAAGAGAGGGAAGAGGCGGAGAAGCCAAGAAAGAACATTCATATTCTGAAATACACTTAATGAGTATTTAATTGTTCAAAGCAATTATAGACTGGTTGGTAAATATGGACCCACAGAGCTTCAAAAAATACATATTATTGACCCAATCTTTTAAGTACATATTGTTAAAACACACACCATGATCACTAATGACTTGTCTGGAATCATAATGGGCTATTCGGGAAGCATATGTCGGGTGACTTTTATAAAATGAGAATGAAAAATGAAAAACCTGTATTTTCTGTACCTACCAAACATCTTTAGAATTTTTAAATAAAAGGAGGGTTTTTTTTTCTTTTTCCTAAATCCCATCCATGGGTTTGATCTATAATTGCACACTGACAGTTGAAAACCTTTATTTCCATAGCATGAATCTGTAATAGTGATTTATATTTTACAAATACATATTGTTAGGTCTACAAAATACCTTTAAAACCAGGGGTGGGATGGCATCTTTAAATAATAGCTGTGGGGTATTTATTTATCAAATATTCTGTAGTGATTTCCCTAGCAGAAGTTTAAAGAATATCTTTATTGTGGTTTGTTTTTTTTCTTTTTTTCTTTTTTTTTTGACCTTCACAATCAGTAAGGATTGATTGGAGCTTCACTTTTGTTTCCCCAAAATCAAAGTGAAATAAAATGCCTTGAGTGGAAATCAAAAGCCTTTGACATATAGCAAAGAGCTTGCTGGGCAGTATTAGTACCCAAAGGCAATTCAGATTTCTTTTCAGAAGCAACATGTCTTCACCATGAACTTTTTTCCTTCTTTTCTTCCTTCCTTCCCTCCTCCCTCTCTCCCTCCCTTCCTTTTCTTTCTTTCTTTCTTGCTTTTCTTTCTTATATTTTTTTAAACAACTTAATTTGAAGAATGTAATCACAGCAATCTTTAATATGCAGATACAATACCCATAATGGCTAAAAAATATCTTTTTAAGTGCAGCTTTGTACCTGAATACATTCCTGTGCTTGAGGCAGTAGTAAGCCAAAACCTCTTCAGATGGCCAGATGCCTGGAAAACACAAGAGGATACACTTTTTGATTATAGGAGTCCGTTCTATAATCATTCTCTATAGTCATTCTCTTAAGAAATGGCTTGGGGAGGTTATGTGCTATGGTGAGCACTGTGAATTGTACAAGACTGATGAATCACGAATCTGTACTTCTGAAACAAATAATGCAATATATGTGAAGAAAAAAAAAGAAGAAGAAGAAGATAGCAGGAGGGGAAGAATGAAGGGGAGTAAGTCGGAGGGGGAGACGAACCATTAGAGACGATGGACTCTGAAAAACAAACTGAGGGTTCTAGAGGGGAAGGGGGTGGGGGGATGGGTTAGCCTGGTGATGGGTATTAAAGAGGGCACATTCTGCGTGGAGCACTGGGTGTTATGCACAAACAATGAATCATGGAACACTACATCAAAAACTAATGATGTAATGTATGGTGGTTAACATAACAATAAAAAAAATTATAAAAAAAAAGAAATGGCTTTTAAAAAATAATGTTCAGTACAAGCTGTTTCAACTTGAATCAAACTTAACATAATTATTACTTGTAATATGTCATATCAAATGAGTTTCTTTTGTTGTTGATGATAGCTCTTTTCCCAGAAAAACAGTAAAATATCCCAAGTAAATTTTACTAAATTTCTGTTACAAGACAGCAAAAACATAACAACCAAAATTACAAATACTAAAAGTTCAATTTTAATGGTATTTCAGGTAGCTGATCTTGTACACATGAACCTTCTTTTCAGCCAATTCATAAGCATCAGTTGAAGACCTAATGCATATGCAGCCCATGTGAGGCAAAAATAAACGGAAAAACACTTGCAAGGAGCAAAGAAAACCACTGAGGTCATTATACCTTTCTCTTTGATTCCATCCTAATGTTTTCAAATATGCACAATTATTTTCTTTTTTCGATGAGAAATATCAAACTGGAGATTAAAATTAAGAAATTTAAATTTCACCAACTTTGGCACATCTTTAAATTTAACCATAATCCTCCCCAGTAAACTCCATGGATGGGCATTTTCTAAAATCATCACTTGTAAATCATTTCTTTTGAAGACTCACTCTTCATGAATGAATAGGAATGCCTTAAAAAAAAAAAGACAAACATGTTTGGAAATGATAGTCTCTAGAGGTTACCACAAGGTGGTAGGTTGTAAGTGCTTTTGATTTTTTTCTTTACACTTTTTGTATTTTCCAAAGATTTTTACAATGAATATGTATCACTCCTATGATCGGAATAAACCACAGCCTTAGACAAAACTGGGTTTTCGCCAAGGCGTCAGACTCAAAGGTCAGGCAGGGCACTCGCATCCTGCTCTGCCTGAGGTTGAGAAGGCCCCACCGTCCTGGGAAAGAGCAATGAATGTTCACTGCCTTCGCACTAAACTCTCTTCTAATGGGTCTGGATGCAAAGTTGAAACACCTAATGAGACTTAATTTTTTTTCCTCCTAACGCATCTCCAGCTTCAAAGAGCGAGAAATCCGAACATTTCAGAGAAGAGGATGTCAAAGAAATGGTAAGTAAAATCCTAATGGAATCAGTGGGTAAATAGATGAACAGCAAAGATATTGACCCCAGAGAAGCATTTGCGGCAGGAAAGTCTGGACAAGTGTAAACTAGCTCAGCCTCCATGGTATTTCTGGTAGAAATGACAGTTTGGGAGAGAACAAAGTAAACCAGCAAGAAGTATTTGGACTCATATTTAGGAAGAAAGTCAGAAAGGCAGTGGAGTGTAGCAATTAAGATCACAGGAGCTTTGGAACCAGACCCTTTGGGCTCCAGTCCCAGCTTGCTGGCCTGCATTCCCTGGCTGAGTGACCTTGGATAGTTTACCTAACCTCTCTGTGCCTCAGGTTCCTCATCTGTAAAATAATGTAATTGTACTATCCACTTCACAGAATGGTCGTGAGGATTAAATAAGTAAAATACATGAAATCTATTGAGAACAACAGTTCCTAACTCATAATGAGCTCAAAGAAAAATTAGTTGTTAATGTTATTCTCCTGCAAAAGGGGATAAAAGGGTAGAAGAGAGAATATGCAGACCCCGACAATTATCCCAAAGATGAGAACAGATGGAGAACCTTTTTGTCCTACTCCCACCCATGAACTTTACCACAACCCTGAAGTCCTAATACCTGGCATACCTCCATAGCAAAAGAACTCTGTAAAGAATAAAGTATATAATAAAAGTCTCTGAAGGAAGAGCCCAAGACAGTGTTCTACACCAAGTCTATATAATCACCAGAATAAGGAATTTCTTTATGCCTTTAGTAGATGGTTTTGAGGTTTAAAAAAATAATGATAGGGGAAGGGTATTTAACTAAAATTCAAGCTTTGATTAAGTACAAAAATGTGACTTCTAAAACGCATAGTCTTTTAAGAGAGTTTTATAATTTTCTCAAAAAATTATAGAGGTTGATTTTTAACTAAATTAAATACAAAAGTATGTAGAACAAAATTAATAAAATCACCTTAAATTACACCACTAGTATATAACCCCTAGTAACATTTTGGACATCATTCCAAAAAAAAGTTCTCTAAGCACAAAGATATTTTATACAAATGGGATCTTATCATGCAGGTATTTGACAATCTGATTTTGTCCCACTCAGTATGTGATGAATAACTTCCCATGACAATAAAAATATACTTGCACCATTATATATATATATATATATATTTTTTTTTAAGTAGGCTCCACACCCAGCGTGGAGCCCAACATGGGGCCCAAAGTCATGACCATGAGATCAAGACCTGAGCTGAGCTCGAGAGTCGGACGCTTAACAAACTAAGCCACTCAGGTGCCCCCTTGCATTATTATTTTTAATGACTGCCTGATTTTATGTCTGCATCATAATTTATTTAACCAGTTTCTTCTTGAGAGACATTCAAGTTATTTCGAGTTTTTGGTACTATGAGATTATAAACAGTGGTACCATGAAGACACATTTTTTTCCCCCAAATATGATTTTTCTCTATAGGTCAAAATACTCAGAAATGGGAAATCTGATCAAATGTTAAGCACCTATCACATTGTGATATACCAAACTGTCCTCCAAAACATTTGTACCAAACTATACGTCCAAATAAGAGCGTTTATTTCCTCAAAGTCTTGTCAAGATGAGGTTTTGGCAACCTATTTTATTTTTGCTAATCTATTATGTTTTGGAAAGTTATCTCAGTGCAAATCAACACCACAATGAGATCGCACTTCACACCTTCTAGGATGGCTATAACCAAAATGTCAGACAATAGCAAATGCTGGCGAGGATGAGGAGAAATTATGTAAAATGGTGCAGCCGCTTTGGGAAACAGTCTAGCAGTTCACCAAAAACTTAAATGTAGAATTAACATATGGCCCAAGAATTCCACTCCTAGGAACATACCCAAGAGAAAAGAAAATATGTCCACACAAAAACTTGTACATGAATGTTCATAGCAGCATTATTCATAATAGCCAAAAAGCAGAAACAACGCAAATGTCCATCAACTAATGAGCAGATAAATAAAATGTGGTATGGCCATGCAATGCACTATTATTTAGCAATAAAAAGAAATAACGTACTGATTCATGCTACAACATAGATGGAGCATGAAAACATTATGCTGAGTGAAAGAAGCCCAACACAAAGAACCACATGTTGCATGTTTCCACTTACATGAAATGCCCAGAATAAACAAATTCATAGAGACAGAATATATAATGGTGGTTGTCTAGGGCTACGATGGTTGAGGGTAAATGTGGAGTGACATTCCAGAGGTGATGAAATACACTAAAAGGGTGGTAATAGTTGCACAACTCTGTGAATATACTAAAAATCACTGGATGAATCACGTAGTATGTGAATTACATCTTAATAATGCCATTATTTTAAAAAGTTTTCTCATTTCTATGTGTGGAAATATAATGGTCTTTTTTAAAAGGATTTTATTTGTAAAGAACTTATACAGAGTCTAAAGAGCCACTGAGTTCTGTGAGAATAATTAAGACAAATGATTATGATTAAGATTAGTACCCAGCCCCTCTGACCCAGTCTTTCTCCTTTCTCAGAAACTGCTACTTCCAATTCTTTTAGCTGATGCATCTGGTAATTACTTCCATATTTCTACATATGTTTGTATTGTCACTTCTTGATTTTTCAGTTTTAGGTACAATCTACTGACCCCCACTATGGAAGATAAGCTGCTTTCACTTTCATCCATACTCCTCTCCCCATGCCACACACACCATGCTCCTTATCCACCCACCATCACCATCTTCCAATTATAGATATATTATAATTTTGGTAATATATAGTCATTGTCAATTTCATTATGACCAGGAAATAATACCGAGCCCTGTAGTAAACTATGATTGCTTTTTATCTCATGTATAATCCCCACCCCCGTGGAGTTTATAATTGTCTATTTTTTTTTTCTCATTTGCTAAGGTTTTTTATTCAATCTCAAAATCCAGTTGTCAAATTTCCCCTCTCAGTACATTCATTCACATCAGGTATTCTATCAAGGTCATGAGGAATTCTTTCCTGGTGCCTTCTGACCTGCTTTAGCCTGGACTGAATGCCCCTATGCTTAGTGCACAGCTGATACCCTAGAATCAGTCTTCGTATCATTCCAGACTCCCTTTTGTCCTTCTGTATTGCATCTCTTGTTTCCTCTACCCTTTGTCTTCCTTTCTTGGTTTACTTCCTCGTTTTAGTGCAAGACATCCTCCAGTAGCTTCTTGAGAAAAAGTGTGTGGAAGGTAAATAAATGTTTGGGAACTTCCATGATTCAGCGGGTAATTTCAATCTGGAAACTTCATGTTCTTCAGATCTTGGACAGTTTCTTGGGAAGTTCCATTGATTCCTTCCGGTCCTCTTTATCTAGAACTCCTGTTATTTGGATGTTGAATCTCCTGAACTCATTCTCCGACTTTCTTATCTTCTCTTTCCTGCTTTCTATCTTTAACTGTTTTCTACTTTCTTGGAAATTTCCTCAACTTTATCTTCCAACCCTTTTATTGTACTTCTCATTTATACTATTTTTTAAAAGATTTATTTACTTATTTATTTGAGAGAGAGAGAGAGCACAAATGGGTGGGAGAAGGGGCAGAGAGAGAGGGAGAGAGAGAATCCACAAGCAGACTCCCCGCTGAGCACAGAACCCAACATGGGGCTCCATCCCAGGACCTGAATCAAAACCAAGAGTCACACACTTAACTGACTGAGCCACCCAGGTGCCCCACATTTATGCTATTCTTGATGGGTGTTCTCTGAATATTTCTTTTTTAGAGCATCTATTCCTGTTTCATGAATCAATCTTTTAAAAATTATTTGAAAATATTAATTACAGTTTCTTTTAAGTTTTCTTATTCTTATATAGTCTATTTTCTTCATGTTGCTTTTTTCTGTTAATTGATTTTGGTACCTTTCACATCAAAAGCTTTCCTCAGATATCTGGCAATTCTTTGTTGTTTGCTTAAACATAATCATAGACAGATAAAAAGCTGGTTGGAAGTGAAGAGGGCTGAGTTTGTGGGGATGGAGTAGAGTGTGGGTAGCTCTGTGTATGTTCACCCAATCTCTCCAGTCTGCTTTCGGTAGTCTCTCTGATTTCAGCTGTGCCTGGTATCCCTCAACCTAAAACCCTTTGGTTTAACCCTCTCTAGAGAACAAATCTCTTCCATTGGGAGTACAGAGGGAGAAGTTACTCAGTAGCCTGGAACAGGTATGCAACTGCTTTATAAACAGTTTTCAACCAATCTTCCTTATTTTAGCCCCCTTCAACTCCTACTTGTACAAATGCCCCAATTTCTGAGCCTTTCAAAGTTTCAGAAGTGTGAGTTGGTTTGGTTTTCAGCTTTCTCAACTGCTGACTTTCTCATATCTGCTAAGTCAATGATTTCTCATCATTTGCTTTCCAGCTTCCAAAATTATGTTGTTGTATGTCCCCTCATTCTATCATCCTTGTACGTTTAGGTTTTAAAAACATTTCTATACAGTGGTTTAGTGAGGTTTCTGGGAGGAAGTGACTTTAATGCATTGTTCAACCTCTAATTTACCTGAAATCCAGAAATGTATGGTCTTTTGAATGTAACTGTTTGTGGGCTAATTCTAGAACTCAAGACATATTGTAACTATTCTTATCTCTCACAGAGTATATTTTTTAGCATAAATACTTTAAGCTCTGAGCGGTGAGGTTTCAGTACACATCCCAGAAGAACAGTGACTAGAAGGACTTCATGAAACAGAGAGAGACTCATTGGAAAAGTGATGAGAATAAATTTTAGAAGGACATACAAGTCAATGAAACTAACAGGGAAGCTTTTCTTATGCTCAAGATTTTTATACTCCATTAGAAATATCATAGGGCTCTATCAACCAATTATAGGGATTGCTGCTATATTCTTGACATCACCCAATGAGACAGAGAAGAATGCCCAAAGTGGTGTTTAGAATTGCTAAGGTACTGGTCCCCAAAAAAAAAGCATCACAAGAAATTTTAATTAATGACTTATTCTAGATAACTTGTTTCCTAAACACGTCATGAATTAGGATACTTCCTTAAAAGTTATTTGGAAGCCTATAATTCCCTATGCCTTAATGCTTTCTGTATAAATTGAATTAGTTTAACTCATAGGAGAAAAGTCTTCCTTCATCCATTGGGCCTCCATAAAGCATTAACTAAACAAGAGCTCCGTTTGGAAGAAGAAAAAGAATAGTATATTATACTTGGGTTTCCATGGTCATTTGATTTCATTCCATTTTCTTTCAAACAAAGGATTGCTTCCCTGCAGATGCCTCTGTCAGAACAGGTCTGCTGGATCTAACAAACTTCAGAAAGCTATAGCCAGCCAACACTAAAATAAGAAAAAGTAGCTATCTATGTAGTAATAATGAGGGGGAAAGTTGTCAATGTGATCTATTTTATGTATGCAGCCACTTTTTTAGTGTTTGTTAAGTAGCTACTTTAGAATTATTTTAAATGCCAAGTTTTACAGTTAATCTGGAAACAAACAATACATCCATTATTAACCTGAGGGCTGAAGAACCCTAAAATTAACTATGTAGATTTTATTAAGAGACATAAATCTCTAGCTGAGCATGGGTCCTTCCTCCTACATCACTTGCATTTGAGAACTTTTTGCTTCCCCAGAGTTCATGTTAGAAGAAAGTCCTGTGACTTTGTCAGATGGCATCAGACCGACAGACTGCTGACCCCCACTTTTCACTCTAACATCTTGTACTTGGCCCATGGGGACAACACACCCAGCTCTTGCAGTAGAGAGATGGCTTTCCTCTAATTAGCTGATATCTACCCATGCAGCAGTTTTCTTTACCCTCCTCAAAAGAAAGGATCATGTCTATCATGTAGGAGTCAGAAGTAAGGCCCCTCCCAAATCCAAGACTCAAATGCGGAGGCCACCACACCCTTAGCGAAGCTGTTGAGTCTTCTGGAAGAAGAAATTCATTGGCAGTGTTACTAAAAGGAAAAGCAGTTCACATGTGGAATGGGTAGGTAAACCTCTTGGACTGTTTTCCATGTTTATACTCTGTCTCCTTTTCCTTAAACATTTCTGCTTTGTTATTAATGTTTCAACCCAGAGTGGAAATCCAAAAGAGGACTACAGAATACTCCATAAATATTTTGGGGGCACCAGTATGTTTCAGGCCCTGTGGATTAGCAGGGAATGAGACGGCATGGTCACTGGAGCTTCTGTCTGGTTAGAGAAGGAGATATTAAATAAACAATTACACAAATGATGTGCCTAATTAATAATCATAATAAAGGCTATGTAGGAAAAATAGAGGGTACTTCTGAGAACATACTGTAGGGGACTTGACGAGGCTGGAAGGGAGGTTGGGAGGAGTCTATCAGGGAACACTTCCTTGTAGAAATGGCATGCAAGGTGAGACCCAGAGGATGAAGAGCCAAGTAGAGGAGGAAGAAGGGGACAGGTGGAGGGAATGGTCCATCCTAGGGGAGCCCCATGAGAGAAAGCTTTGAAGAGGAGAACAGTTCAATATTCTAGGAATGGAAATAGGGCGAGTGGAGCTGCAGAATACATGAGAAAGGAAGAGAACAGTGCCAGGCGTGATTGGAGGGATGGCTAGGGGCCACATCCCACAAGCTCCAAGCCCTGTAAGATTTTCAAATTGCATCTTAATATAAGTGATACATTTTCAGCAGCAGAGTGTTCTGATCAGACTTACATTTTAGAAGATAAGTCTGACCACCCTAAAGAAAACAGACTGACGAGGGGCAAAAGGAGGCAAGGAGAAACGAGGTCGGAGGCTGCTACGATGACCTAGGTGCGTGCCGATGGTGAGCTGGGGGATGGTTTGCAGACATGAAGAAAAGGGAAAAGGTATGAGCTATACTTAGAAAGCACACTGACAAGACTTACTACTTAATTAGGTGAAGGGGATGGTAAGAGAGAGGAAAGTGTCAAATATGACTTAGGTTTGTGTCATGAATAAGTAGGTGGATGATGTACAGCAAATGCATATAGGGTTTTCTTTCAATTTTATATGAACTGAGGAGGCTAGATTCATGGTACAAAAACACTAGCTAGTGGTTTGGGGTCTGATTCTGGCTCTGACACTAATAATCTATGTGATATTGGTAAGTAATTTAGCCTTTCTGAGCTTCAGGATCCTCATCTGCAAGATACCAGGCTTGGGCTAGACTATGTCCAGGGGGCCTTCAAGCTATAAAGTTATAATAAAAAACCAGATCTCATGCTCCGGACTTAAGAGTCCAGCTTGAACACTGGCTCTGATGGTTGTGTGACCTTGGGCAAGCTACTTAAAGTTTCTAAGCCTCATTCATTCCTTCATTCAACTTACAATTATTGGCAGCCAGGCCTGTTCTAGGAGCTGGGGATACAGCAGTGATTAAAACAAAGCCCTTGCCCAAATAACTTCAACGGGGGCAACGGACAATAAACAAGGAAATTCCAGATAGTGATTAATGTTGTAAAGAAAATAAAACATTAGGGGGGCCTGGGTGGCGCAGTCATTAAGCCTCCAACTCTTGGTTTCAGCTCAGGTCACAATCTCAAGGTCATGAGATCCAGCCCTGGGTTGGTCTCCGCGCTCAGCGTGGTGTCAGCTTGAGATTCTTTCCCCCCTCCCTCTCCCTCCCCTTTGCCTCCTCCCCCCGCGCGTGCTCTCTCTCTCTCAAATAAATAAATAAAATCTTTAAAAAAAAAGAAAAGGAAAAAATAATGAAATAGACAATAACTATGGGGCTACAACTTCAGCTGGCACTGCTGTGCAATGCCTCAGCTCTCTGACTCATTAGGCACAAGCAGTCCAAGTGCCCACTCCCAGCATGGTTGTGAGGATTAAATGAGATAATGCACGTAAGGCACTTAGAACAGCGCCTGGCAGGTAGCAAAATTTTTATAATGTTAGCTACGGCTGCTGCTGCTATTTGTCACGGTCATTATTTTGACGTGTTTCTATCCAGGAAATTTTACCAACATTGATTATATTTTTATGATAGTTTCAGGGAGATTATGTTTCCTAATCAATAACCCACAAAATCAAACCAAAACTGACCTTTGGGAAAGCTTGCCCTAGCTGTGGGAACTTGGAAAACGGACTGTAAACAAGAATTCCATAAAAATGGACAATGCTTGTTCTATACTTGTCCTCCTGCTCTGACCCGTTAACAGACTTGTTCTAGAACAATAAATTATTAAGTGCAGGCCTCCTTGTGTTTGTGGAGCCAGATCACAGAGAACACGGGCACATCCGGCTGAAAGGGTGTCAGCGTCGCCCAGCACAGCCAGCTGGTGGAAGCTTGTCCCCTGACGTGCTAACATTGACCGAATGCTGACTGCTGTCCAGGCACTATGAGGTAGATGAGGAGATCAAGGCACAGAGAGGTTAACAGAACTTCCCCCAAATCAGACAGGTACAATTTGAACCCAGGTAATCTGACTCTAATCTGAACCTATGTCTTATACTGCCATCCCCTAGATTGCAAAGACAAGGGTCCAAATGAATTGCTTTGCAATTTTGTTTCTTCTCCTGTTCCTGGAGAAGCCAACTGAACTAAAAGAAGGACAGATAGTGAGCATGTGGAAGGAAGAGAAGGGGGCACAAAAAAATTAACCCAACTATTTCGACAATAAATTCTTCTAGGACTACAAGATGGGTCCATTTCTGGGTGTGATTTGATTTTTTAAAAATGCATTAAAGTTAAAAACTTAAATTTTACTTCAGATACCTCCTTGAGAGAAGGGAAAGATGAAAGGCATCCCAGTTCCATCGGGACTCTGTGGTGGGGACGAGGAGATAGTCTTTGGCCTTCCGTCAGATGGCCAGTTTGAGAGCAGACGCTGGGAAAGCAATTAAGGGACCCATGAGAAATGAAGATGGGACAAGGAAGATGCTGCAGCAGCACCAAGAGAAAGGAATACACAGGATGCACTGCAACCACAGCCATGGCCATCTTGCACACCTCCTACAGCAAAGACAACCTGGAAGACAGCTCTGGGGCTTATTAGCTTTAGGAGCTGAGCGAATCACTTAAGCGCCCCTTACATCATCTCCTTCTCCAGAAGTAATAGTACTATCTACCCTGTAAGTATAGATGGGAGGATCAAATGAATTAGAAGACGACCAAATAAGTACTCAGTCAGTATTAGCTGTTACTACTATTAGCGGCATCACTTACTGGACACTCACTGTTTGGCAAATGCTCGGCTGTTTGCTTTATACAGATGATCTCATTTAATCCTGAAAACAGCCCTATAAGGGATGTACTATCATTATGGCCAGTGAAAGGGCACAATGAGGTTTACCGAAGCACACAGAGCTGAAGTGGTACAGCCCACGATTTAAGCCCACATGCTCAACCACCAGGGCCCCTTTCTTTCTTTCTTATTTATTTGAGAGAGAGAGAGAGAGAGAGAATGAGCAGGGGGAGGGGCAGAAGGAGAGGGAGAAGCAGGCTCTCTGCTGAGCAGGGAGCCCAATGTGGGGCTCGATCCCAGGACCCCGGGATCATGACCTGAGCCGAAGGCAGACACTTAACCAACTGAGCCACCCAGGCGCCCCACCAGGGCCCAGTTTTTCAATCACTACCCTATATTGCTCCAGCTCCAGTGACTGGTCCTGAAATCCAGAGAACTAGTTTCTAGTTCTCATGGCTGTCAATAACTAATTTTAGGACTTTGGACAAATCATATTTAGGCTCTGGCTTCAAGAATAAAATGGAAGGGTCGAATTGATTTCTGAGGATTCTTCCAACTCTTAAATCCGAAGGCTATAGATCACTGTATCTGTGCATTTCCAAATTCTATAAAGCTATAAAATTGTCAGTGGGCTCTAGCCTGCAACATTTTAAAGAAATTAGATTCCCTTAGATATTTTATTTGTATTATAATAGCAAATCTAAGTAATATAATAATATCAAATCTAAACCCTTACCAGGAAATATTTTAGATAGGATTCAAAATGGTCTCAGAAGTCAAGCCTTCCTAACATGTCTATTTTAATTGATTTAGCACTGCCTTTGTTAATTCAATCTCACAGCCTCAGAAAAGAGACTGCTCTACATCTGTGTATTCTAGTGGCGATAGCGTTTTTATTTAGCTAATCCAGCATATTAATAACAGACAACCTCCTCAAGTAAAATTTTTCCTCTCCAATACTGAGCATGGTTCTCAGATAAATGCTGCATTTTTTTTTTTTTTGCTCATATTTCCTCCTTGTCAGGGTAACAAACTTCCTTTTGGGCAGAAGAAATTTTCCCGAAGTCTGAAAGTACAGGTAGAAGAATATCTCCCAGTGCAATCTCTCTAGGCCTAGGCCAGAAAATGCTCTAACCCCATTGGTCAGAGAGAATATCAGAAAGTGAGAACAGTCATTTCTAGCAAGGGTGGACCCAGAGAGCTCCTAGCAAGAGAAGAAACATGGCCTGGGTTCCCCCAGAAACACAGCACATCTTCCTCAGAGAAGAAGAAGAAGAAAGAAGAAGAAAGAAGAAGAAAGAAGAAGAA